GGCCCCACCCTCCGCGGCCGGCTCTGCGCCCCGCCCGCGCGCCACGCTCCTCCCCGGCCCCGCCCCCGACCCCGCCCAGGCCCCGCCCCGCAGACCCAGCTGGAAGAGGGAAGCCGGGGGCACGCAGAGAGCCGCTGCGTCCGCCGCCGCCTGGCGGTCCCAGGTATGACGGCCTCGTAAAGGTGCGGTGCGTAGTGGTTACTGCTTTTTGTCAGATGCGAGTCTCTTGCTCGACTTATTACTGTTATTGTTATCATTTTTGGTATTGTCAGCAGTTGTTTTGACCTCCTCGAGGGGCCAGATGGCTCTTTTGAGGTCAGCCGTCGCTGCTGAACGGACACTCTTGGCCACCTCCGATCCTCCCACTGGCCAGCACCTGCGCCACATTTCGCTCAGCCCAAGAACTTGTGTGAATTTGGAAAAAAGGAAATATTTATTTCTATCCGTTATTTTCAGATGTAACACAGATATACAAAGCCATGTAAAACCAACGCGCGGCTTAATGAATTCTTCCGAGACATACACCCTTATAACCACTCCTCCTAGATTTAATGCATTGTAAAATTGCCTGGCTTAAAACAAAACTTCATCAGTAGCCAGGAGGACACAGCAGTCTTCTTAATCATGTTCCCTCCAAGAACACTTTTGTAACATGGAAATTTTCATAAAATTAAGAGCTCCCACTTAATAGTGTCTTAGTAAAATCCTTAATTAAAAAGATAAAACATACAAGTAATCAATCAACCAAAGATTGAATACCATGATTAAGGAGCACATGGGAGTGGAGATAGGAAGTTTGTAAAGACAAAATAGTCAAGGATTAGGTAGGCTGTGAGGATAGGTCCTGGGTACCTGGGCTGTCCTCACTCTGTGTCACTAGGCCCTGTTATGGAGCCAGTCACATTCTAAGTGCTCTGTGTGTGTGTCTAGTGCCAGGAAAGGGAAAAAAAAATGTGTAAAATCCCCCCAAACGGGTTTTACCTACTGAACAATCTCAACCATCTTTCAGCAGCTAAAGTGATGTTCTAAGATGCCTCAGTGTCTTAGAAAGATACTATATTTTCAACCTTACGTTGTTTTTTCATTTTGAAAGCTCTTTCACATGTATATGATCTCTTATTCGGAACTGACAGAGAAAGGGAGGGAAGGCCAGAGGACTTTGAAAGGTCACAGGGCAATACACACTGGTAAGAAGCGGAAGTACACTGTGAACCATAAAACGATTTCAAAACTCTGACCCTGCCAACCTGGATTCCAGGTTTGTGTTGACAGTTTTATTGCTTGAATTTTTACCTTAAGACTCCTTCGGCTCCTTGGCCATACATTTACGTACAGTATAACTTAAATGTATAGAAGACACACTACTTGGCTGGAAATTGGATTCAATACGGTGGAGTCAGCCTCTCTGCCATGAGCACTTTGGTGAATTGGGGCTGAATTTGCCAGCTTACTACCATTCTTTGACACTATGTAGTAGGAGTGCAAAGAATATAAGATAAATAAGGTATAATCTTTGCTCTCAAGTGCCTTCGGTCAAGTAAAGGAGAAAAGTTTAGGAATGAATGAGTGTTCAGCTTATTATGATAAGGAAATAGTCTTGAGTACAATTAATTCAACTAGGGATAAGGAAAGAGGAGGGCAAGTCTTGTCAGAGAAAAGAACCTCTGAATCTTTTTATTATGAAAAAATACCAAATATTGCAAAAGTAGAAAGAATAATATAATGAAATGCTATGTATCTGTTACTTAGTTTCAGCAGTTATCAACCCATGGCCCATTTGTTCCATCTGTACCCTCACCTCTTTCCTTCTCTGGATTATTTTGAAGCAAATTGTAAGTTGCATATTATTTGTGCATAAATATTTTACCCTGCATCTCAAATGATAAAGTCTATTTTTTTAAATCTCAAATAATTCAAATATGTTATATTATATATAGATAGGGAGAGAGAGAGAAAGAGATTTTTCTAGAGAGACAGAGAGAAATCATCCCTTTAGGGCCAATGGCCATGCCACAGTCCTTTCTCCTCCATTCTCCTCTGGGAATTTTGGGCACATGTACACAGGTACTTAGTGTGAGTTTCAAGCTATTGGATCGGTCTGGAACTCAAACCCCAGTAGGCCATATGCCTTAACCACTATGCCACTTGCTAGCCCCTCAAATATATTTTTTAATTAACATGTAGACATGTCATAAATGTTTTATATACATTACTTCTTCAAGTCAGGATCCAAACAAGTTCCTCATATTGCATTTGATTAAAATATATAAGCCTTTTTCTTTCCGTGCATTTGTGGATTGGGTAAGGGTTATGGATTATTTCTTCATGAGGAAATGAATTGTCCTGTGGAGTTTCCCACATTCTGCGTTTTCCTGATTGCATTCCTGTTGGGGGGGTGGTTAACCTGTACCTCTACCTCTATTTCCAATAAACTGACAGTTAATACAAGAACCTCGATCACATGAAATCCGTAATGAAGAGAAAATTCAACCAATCAAAAACAGACCTAGTGGAACCAGCAAATGGTGTAATGATTATGTTGCTGGACTCCCATGAAGTCAGTTCGAGCCTTGGACCTGGTGACTTAAAACTCACGCTGGGTGCATGTACATGTGTGCCCAAGATCCTGAGAGAATGGAGGAGAAGCAATTGCGGTGTGGCCATCCCCATAGAGGGGTGATTTCTCACTTCCTTATTTTATTTTATTTATTATTATGATTTATTTTATTTATTATTTTAAAAACATTCAATTGCTATACATTATTTAGCTTGTAAAGAGAATTTACCCAACTTGAAGTACACCTCAGACCAATTCCGTTGAGAACACTATACACGTTATCATCAACAGGTAATAAACCATTTCTGTGTCCCACGAATGTCTTGCCTCTTTATTTTTTCCCCCTAATTTGCTTCCCTATACTCTTCCTTTCTCCCACCCTCCTTCCACACTATCTTCATTGTCCTTAACTATTTTCAATGCTTTTATGCCCTCCAATCTTTCAGTTTCTACCGTGGAGTGTGGACAGTTATATGTTAAGTGGAGATATATAAGCTCTCTCTTTTGTAGCCTGGCTTGCTTCACTCAGCAATAAATCTTCCCCATTTGTCCACTTTCTATCAAATGCCAGGGTCTTGTTGCTTTTTATGGCTGCATAGTATTCCTTGGCATATATATGCCACACTTTTTCAACCCATTCATCTGTTCGTGGACATTGATGAATGTGGGTTGGTTTGATGTCTTAGCTATCATG